GTGTTTTATCAGTTGAAAGTTTGTATAGTTATCCTCGACTGTATACATTGATATGAAGAGGTCTTAACAAACTGTACCAAATGTAGGCTTTGTTACTGTTATGAAGGTTGAGTACTACCCAACCGGATGTTTCTGCAACTATCAAGCTTACACGTATTCAGTGTTCTGTAATGTTTCATCAAAGGTGTTCTTTTGCTTATCAGCTGAAATTGTAGAGTATTTAGAGATTGACCGGTTACAATAATATATGCATTTTTGTGTGTTCTAAAGGAAGCCTTTTGGTCATGTTTTGTTAAAGTAAGGCAAAAACCTAGACGACTCCTGACAATGCAAGTTGTTTTCTGAACAACTACCTGGGAAAGACTTGCAATTTTGTAGTAATATTTACCGAACCGTCAAGCACAGCTGTAAACTTCACTCTCAAGTAACTCACAGATTTAGGAGTTGGCTCTTATTTCAGCATTGAATTCCTAGACTTTCACAAAACCATTTTCTAAAATCTTCCTCAGGAGTGAAATTATTTTACCCAAAAAGTGTCCAACATAGTGCCAATCTACGGTTGAAGTCTACAGAGACTGAAAAAATTGCGAGCCTGATCGAAGTGTTGCAAATTCCAAGTTACCTAACCAGAATATTCGTAAAAAGGTCATTGTGCTTACTAGGCCTAATGAAATTCCCATTTCACCAAGTTCAATTCAGTTTCAATGTAAGTTTCATATACTTTAAAAGGTAACCTGAGGCAAATTCCAATTGCATCCTCCAGGAGGGGAGGGGGAGGGGACAGGGGGTTGGGAGTGGGTGTGGGCAAGTGCCTCGAAGCAATGCATAGGCAAGATGTCATACTTCTTCGTCTTTGCCTACAAAAAAGCGAACTGTGCATTGACATAAGCCACACACTAAAAGCTCAAGGCTGATATTCCTTTACATCAGCATCGGGTATTAACTTTCAGTTGTAAAAGTGCAAAAAGTCCCAACAAAGTTTAATGTACTAAACTTGAAACAGAGAAAGTTTCTACTCTGATCAAAAACCAATCTATTGTACTGCTTTACAGCCTTAAGGCAAAGTCTAAGTGTCTCTTATGGGGTTTTTGTATATCATTAACCCCATTACCCTCACTGTAACTAAGATATTGAGTAATAAGTATTCCATCTTGTTAACACTACACTTCATTAAAGGAGGTAGAAAATAATAATATAAAATTGCTCACACCATTTTGACACACTCCAGCAATTTTCAAGATTAAATGTTTCAAAATTCAATCCAGGCAGTAGGAAACTTAAATTTCCTGCAAAGTACTGGGTTTTCATACTTGATAAAATAACTTTCCCAATAAAGAATAAAATAATTGAAATATGTGAGCAACGGGGACAATGGCAACATAATTTCAAAACCACTCCCACAGAACCCACATTTACTTTCGTCAAAGTTAATTTAGAGAATATTTCTTAAAAACTTCCAATCAGAATGTCTAACTGCTCCAGATACAAAAATTGGATAAAAACTTCATTTACAAGTATCAGATCAATTCATGATATGACCAATCCAATATGCTGTGAATTCCATGGAAGTAATATGGTTATTTGATTCTCAATACCATATTTATTAAATGTCCTACATGCTTTTCAAATTTTTGGATCTTAAGAGTGGGTGCTCCTTCAAGGCGCAGGGCTTATTCAATTTTTAACATTTTCAGCAAGTAATAAGTTTATTTTACAACAAAAAAATGAATCATACCAAACATGAAGATGTACATATACAGTGAATTTAAAGAAAGGAAGTAATAATCAATGATCCTCTCATGCACTTAAGTTTGCTCTTTTTTTTATTTTTTTTATTTTTTTGTGGAGGAGGAGGGTGGCTGGGTGCTTTTTAAATTTTCATTTCAACAGAATAGGAGCTTATTCAAGGTTGGGCACTTAATCAAATAAGTATGGCAAATGTTAACTTCACTCTAAAAAAATAAAACCAGCCACAAGTTCATTGGGGTATTAACTTCAGGCAAAAACTAATCCTGGTAAGTCCTAATAGCTTCTAGTTAGTTCCAGTCCTATTTGCCAGCTTGCAATTAGATTTTTTCCAAACAAAAAAGCAATAATCTTCCATGTTTCTTAACCTCAATCTCTTACAGCCTAGCATTCATGTTCACTGCCTAAGAAAGATGGTCATTAGCAGAGCAGCAGAGTGCATAATCCAAAGGTCTCATGTTCGATTCCTCTTGGGGCTCAGAATTTTTCTTGGTCCTATGCTAATGACAAGAGGAAATAAAATTTTTCATTATTTCTTTACCAAGCTCAAAATTTGCCATCTTTCTTATTCTGTATATAAACATGATGCTATCAACAATGCTGATCACGCAGGCAGACCACACTATGTGTTTGTGGTTAATGATTGTTGACATGAGACAAACAAAATCAATGAGGGTTTTGAATAAAGCTCTAAACATTGCATATCTAAATTAGATCTCAGTCTGAATATCTTAATAAAGTTCAATAAAATGTTAATCCACTCATTTGTGGAATTTTTTCACCTTCATAGGCTGTTTGAAGTGACTTTTTACAAAATTACTTTTGGCCAAAAAACACAAACCACAAACACATAGTTTGCTCTGCCTGTACTGATCCTAGCAGGATGCAGGACGCATGTCATATAATAAACCTTGTAATTGGTTAGCTCACTGCAGAGTCTGTGGCTCAGTGAGAGAGCATCAAAGCGCTGAATCCAAAAGTCTGAGGTTCAATTTCTCAAGAGGACTCAGAATTTTTTCTTTGTCTCACACTCCTGACAAGGTGAAAAAATGTCTTTTGTGGTCACCAGATGTAGTTTCTGAGGATAAAAATTTCAGGGTGAGGTAAGGCAGGTGGGGGAGGGGAATTTTGATAAAAAAAACTCTCTTATGGGTGGGTATGGGCATTTTCTAAGACAAGTCAGTTACACCTTTAGGTTGACCTACTTTTTAGCTGGTCACTCAAAGGATGTGGAAGTTCTTGAATTACCAGTGATAGACTGGTGAAGGAGGAGCTCCAGTGTCAGTCATAGAAGGTGAGCTTTTCCCTTCATGGTAACCATCAAAGTCTTTTGGACAGCAGTACTTCCAGCCACGATACAGAACAAGCACAAGCAGGTAAACAAGAGGTACATATGCCAGAAGCTCTACAATCAGACTAAGGCCATTAAAGACAGATGTTGGTGCGTCACTGACAATACCCGAACTGAAGCTAACAATCAAGCACAAGTTTGTAAGAAGCACTGCATCAAGTCTGTTAAGGTACTCATACTGCTCATTGTAAGGACGAAGATACAGTCCTGTGACTGCAATGAGGACACAGGACACTTCCAGGATGGATCTCTTCAGGGGCCCAAATGGAACATACAAGGCAATCAGCAGGATGTAAATGCGACACAAGAAATAAAATGCTGCAAACCACCTGAATTCATTTTTAAAGCACTTCTGGAAGTTGTCATAGTACAATCTGAAATTTTTCAAATAACGAAAGTGCTTTAAGAACCATGGTGTAAAGAGAAGAATCAACGGTATGAATATAACAAAAAAAATAATCCATAGGCAGGCAATGATGGTAAATGGTAAGTGTTCCTTCCAATCTCTTTTGAAGTCGATGTTACCATTTGCATACAGCACCCATCTTTCTTGTATGGGAACATAGTGAACAATGTTGAATGAAATCATGGTCACATTTGTGTAACACACAACCAACAGAGTGCAGAAGGCATGAGAGACATTCCTGTTTATGTAGCAGGCAGGGCGGCAATTTGCAATCTTGGCCAAAATCACCAGTATGAGAAGAACATACAGTGGAAAAATGTAGTTCACACCAAGTTTCTGAAGGTTAGTCATTCCTTTGTAAAAGCAAGTTCCAGCACCATTTATTTCCCAGTTGGCAAGACCAATCACAAAAGAGATGAAGGGATCAAGTTTTTGTCCTTCTTGAAGAAGAAACAAAATAATTTGATAAGAATACAGCCAGGTGTTGAGGTATGTGGTGAAGATGTCCAAATTGATCCGAAACACCATTAGGACCAGCACAGGTGTCACAAAAAAGAATACCAGAGAAAGTAAAATGTGGACATTTGTACATGATGGTCTGCACTGTTCATTGCCTAAATTCACAGAGTAGCCATGTTTGCATGCTCCACACAGAATGCTTGTACCATCGCGTCCTTTGGTACACATTGTTTCAGGACTGTATCGGAAAGTTGGTTCACGTTCAGAGAGATTACAGTAATATGGTGGACAAGGGTATGTGCTGAATTTATTGTCTTTTACTCCACCCCAATATCCTCTCTTTAAGAACACATACTTGGCATCTGAACTACAGTTTGAAATACCTGACTCAACAGAGCTTGAGATACAAGAACAGGTCTTGCTATCTGTCTGCTCAAATCCATCATTACAATGTTGTAAAGTCAATTTCCCTTTGGAAGAACTCTGCACAACACGACCCACAACAGTGCTGAGTTGAACTTTAAATGGACGTTTTACACCTCCAACAAGATGCAAGCTGTAGATCTTGGGATGATCTCCAAGCACTAGAAACAACTTAGAAGCTGTTCCAAGTCCAACATTGCCTGCAGCATTTTGATTTTGTTCTTCAGTTATGGTTACTTTAACAACACCTAAAACAGAACTGTCCTTTTCATCAATTAACTCAACAGTTGGGTCGAAGACTTCACTTGGAGAAACCATCCACTCATTTTCATTGAACTTGATTAGGACTGGATCAGTAGATATTTGTGCTTCACTGCTCTTGTTTTCATCCCGATATAGAATTGTGTCTTCCCACTCCAGAGTTCTGTGGTTTATGCGAGGTACTCCATCTTCACGGCATCCTTGAAGAGTGGAAGCATACACTGAGTCTCCACCACCTGTTGCTACTACCAGATTACCCTCAAAAACTATTTGAGTTTGCCATTCCGTGATATTCTGTAGACTGAAGCTGTGGTTATAGGCAAGGAAACACTGTCGTGTCTTAAGCTGAGTTGTATTGAAGGCCACCACAGGAGGACCAGAGTCTTTCACATAAATAGCGCCACCTCTCTTTTGAGCAGTGTTGTTAAAGAAGTGAAGGGTGCTGTATGGCATAAGCATTAAGAATGAAAGGCCATACAATCCTAGTGCACCCCCCTCCCCTCCTGAGTTATTTCGGAATGTCACATGACCAAAAATGTACAGCACAACATTCTCAACCACCATTGCAGTATTGTCATTATGTTCAATGTACACAACTCCTTTAAAAATGACTGGTAGGGAGTAGGAATAAATTGCTCCTTGGCCAATGACTTTTTCATCTTCTGTCAATATTATGTGGTTTTTTGTGACATTACAGTCCTCAAGAACAATAACATAAAGTTTAGTTCCTCTTGTGACAGAATTTGGGAGACCATTTACTGCTGCCTGTGTAGACATTCCAATAGCAGAACCCATTGTTGCTGTGTTGTTCCTCCAGGTACAGTTTTTGTATTCTATATAAAGCCCATCACCATTGCCTTTGAAAAAAGATTGCCATTCATAAAATGATACTCCTCCTCCTAAGATGGCAGTATTGTTTTCAAACTTGCAAAGTTCATACTTCATTTTGTTTGGAAGTAACCCTAGCTGATGGTCTCCAGCAGTGGTACCACTTCTGATGCCTCCTCCAGCATACGTAGCATTGTTGTTATGAAACACACAGTCTGTTACTTCAAATGTGTTGTTTTGCACTTTGTCATGAAATTCTATGAAAATCCCGCCACCCCAAATGGCAGTATTTTCTTCAAACTGACATCTAGTCACATGAATAACATTATTTTCTGCTTTCCCATTGACAAATATAGACAAACCTCCTCCTCTTCCAAAGGGAATGTGATCATCCCCAATTGGAAGTTTGACTATTGTTTCATACTGTTGACTTGGTGCACAATTCTTTTTGAACGTACAGTTGTAGAAAGTGTAACTACTGTTGGTGTCAAACTGAGCCAATGTTGTTGAATTGAAATCAAAGGGAAAAGTTCCACCCCTGTAGGTTAACTCCATGTAAATGCCACCTCCTGCAATTGCTACATCTTTTTCATCATCTTTTAAGTTATCCGGCCGATTGTTCTCAAACCGAGAATGTGAAATACGAACCTCACCACCAATGTCGTACATGTTAAGTCCAATTCCGGGACTGTCGACAATATTGCAGTGGTCGATAACAATGTGTTTACAGTACACCAGAAAAACAGCTGAATAAAACTCGATGTGGGGATATTTAAAATCTCTGCCAGTGGTACTTGCATGCAGTCCGCCACAGCCACGCAGCAAGATTCCGCTCAGAGTAATATTGTCGCTGTTTTCAAAGGATAAACTGCCATTATTCCAGGGGCATTCGATGGAAACTATCGAGTACGGATCGCCAACCAATTCGAACCCGTGCAAATTCATGAAGTCAAAATGCTGGCTGAGATTGTACGGCTTCTTTCCAGCTATTAGCTGCACAAGAGTTGAATTAATTACATGAGCTAAGGCATAGTCTAAGGTTTTACAAGGAATTGTTTCATTCCAGCAAGAGCTCGTGTCCACTCCACCATGTTGTGATACTGTAATTCTTCTTTTCCACGTCAATTCTGCACGCAATGATGGGGCAACTGCTAAAAGGCAAATAAAAGGGATAAAGAAAGAAATTAAAGACACAGCCATCGCGACCTTACGCCCGTATCACTGGTTGTTTTCTTCTAATGCAGTCGGTTAATTTCCAACTACGCATGTCAACTTCCTCGTTTTCACAGAAGTCTCAAACGATGAGTGGCGTGACTTTCGTGGAACTTCGCTGATAAACCCCGCCGGCTGAGTTCTTGCACGTTCTGCGCGCGGTCTGTCATCTCAATCAGATCTGTCATCAATTTTTATTGAAGGCATTGGCCATAATCATGGATTAAACGCTCACGATGTGGTTCCAGAGGCAAATTGGCTCCAATTTCTCCAAGTAAAAGGTTTTTCTCGTTAGCTGCTGTTTTTTTTGGAAGTCATTCAACGACGCATATCGCAAGAGTGCGTGACATCTAAAAACGGCTTAGACATGGACGCAAAAATTCAAGAGCTTGACTTTTCGCGCGTTTATGGAATCAGCATTTTTACGAAATAAGTTTTCCTTTCCCTTTTCCCTTTCTTTTGCATCAAAAATACCGAGTAACAGAAATCTGCCCTGTATTAGGACAGAGATCTTGCACTTCATTCGGTCGCGCTAGTCTTCTTAGTGGCCGTTGATAGGGATGTCACGGTCAAGTTTGAGGGTTTAAATTTTAAAGTTTAAAGTTTAAATTTTCTGGCATTTTTTAGCAATAAAAGTGGCATTGCCGAATCAAACTTGGAAAAGAATACGTACGAACTTAGCGTTTCGTATTTTTATAAAATCAGACGTCATAAGCTGGTTGGGTTGTTTTTGTTTTGCGTTTTGAGATGAACATCCCGTAATTCCCAGAAAAGGTCAAAAGTTCCATTAAGACACCTAATCCATGGTTAATACTCCTAAACATGTTTGAAAATAATGGGTATTATTATAAGATAATTTTCTTGCCTTAGATATAATAAGAAGGCTACAGAACCCGTTCATCACTACCAAGGTTTCGTTAGTAATTCTCCTTTCTTTCTGCCATATGATTATTTTAATCTTACTTCGGAGAATTTTGTATCGGATCAACTGATGATCTCCTACCGCGCGCGCACAGAAAAGAAAGAAAAACAAAAAGGCTTTACATGATGAAGAAACCCTCTCAGGTTTCGTAACCATAGCATTCCACAGCTACGATGAGCACGGGTATAGTTGATTCATTTTTAATATTCCTTGCTTCAGTATCAAAATATACAAATTTCTTTCAATATTCTAAATCGCTTTAACTAGTACGGGTTCCCAATATAAAATATGGAAAATATATCTTTCTTTCCATTGATATAAAATACTCCTACAAATTGATTATTAGACTAAAGAATTCCTATTAGAAAGGTATGTACATAATATTTTCCTAAACAATTTTCAAGTTTAGCTCGTCGGGACTCGTCTGACCCCGTGACCCCCGAAGGAGAGAAAG